AGTTTTTTTTCGTAGCAACCCAGATTTGCTTGCAATTACGGTCACCAAGACGAAGAGTTTCAGTGCAGAGTTTGTCAAGATTTTGGATCTCAGTCTTGATTAGCACTGAAATTTGTTTAATTAAATCTCGGTCAAGATTTTTGCATACCCTTTTTTGGTTCTTATGAAGTTCTTCAAAGTGGGGGAAAGAAAATATGGCGGGACTGATGTACATAGGGGCAGCAGATGTCAAAGCAGAAGTTCAAATAGCTGAGGTGTGAGGTGTTTAAACTTGACCGAGACACTTGGATCAAAGAACTGAGACCATTTCTCTCAGAGATTTCAAGTGGACTGTGTCTCACAGTCATCAAAATGCCGTCTGGTCTTGTTAACATGTGTTTAGTCTATGATTTGCTTCGGATTTAGCTTTTGACTACAGGCTGGTGCGAAAAGCAACCGTGATTTTGCAAACTGGGCACTGGGATCGAAGTCGTAATTTGTTGAGAATTTGTATTATTTTCATGCTATCATATTTTAAAAATCTTTACCCCATACCGTGACAGTTTCTCCATGATAACTGCAAGTGCTGAAGTTTCCTGGTTGATGCTGTTACACCTAGGATTGCCAGCTCTTTCCTATCGGAAATCCTATTCAACTACAGAACGATATCCCATTCGACAACGGAGATACCACCTCACGAAATCATATACGGTAGAGAACCCAGAACTCCTCTAGATAGGTTTCTAGGACGATCTGGAGAATAAATTTCCACGAAGGAGCGAGACAAGCTAGAAAGAGTAGCGAACCAGGCAAACCCAGTGGCGCAACAAGCCAAGGTAAGACAAAGAACATCGATCAAAAAAGTGGCAGCCATCCGTACCGGGACAGCTAGTAAACGTTAAGAATCAAGGCAGACCAGAAACAACAGAACCGGGGGCCTGAAGGTTCAAGCAGATGTGGATAGGGGCCATTCACTGTCCTGGAGAGGAAGAACGCCGGTTTTCGGATCAACCAGGGTCCTCAAGGGAGATAAGTAAATGGTAAAGCATTGGAGCGGTGATACACCCGCGGCAATCATTTTAAAGGAGGGGCGAATGTGATAGAAGGTGGTACAAAGAGAGTCCCGGCTAGCGAACAAATCAAGAATAGGGCCCATCCAACCAGATGCGCAGATATAGCTGCTGGAAGTATGCCGCGAGACAAAGTCGACTACCACCCGAAACGAACGAATCGACAATTACAGCCCGATAGACAACCCGCAGGTATCCAGAAATATATCCACTGAATACCACAACGTCGGAGCTGTCGATCGACTTATCTCGCGCTACGATCGGATCAAACCAGTCGGAACAGCCCGCAGAAGAAGAGGCAACTTACGTGCCAAATGCGGACCAAAACCAACAAGAATTGACCAACAGTAAGAGGCATGAAACATCATACCGTGCGGTTAAAATTTGAATGTATATAATTAAACGTGTACACCGGTTGTTTTTGAATGGGATCAATAGACGTTTTTCCATCCAGCTCACCCTATTGTTACACAATGACTCACCTGCATCTCTCGGAAGAAGTTGCGTTACATTGCACGACCGTTTGTGTCGAAATTTGTGCTGAGCCTTTTCATAAACTGTTTAGTATCCTCCTTAGGGGTTGAAGTGGGGTAAAGACTACTAAACACGAATTACGGACGCAACTGAAACAATAAGAATCTCCCGTCACCGAGAGAAGGAAGAAAGAAATTGAAAGAACTCAATGAGATGAAACAAAATAGAACTGGAAATAGCATTGATCAATCACCGTTGTCAATCTTCGCGTTTCAAGGCTTCTATTTGGAACTGCATAGTTGTTGATTGATCGATACTGCTGGTTCATTACCCAATGGTCAGAAACTGAAGTGCGTAGGCGTTTGGCTGACGTCATCACAATCATCAGTACTTCAAAAGTAAATCGGTTTCGGACGAATTTACGAATATCTATGAGTAGCCCCAACTGCGTTTTGAGGACCCTACGATTCAGTTTCCAAGGCTCATGATTGATCGATTTTTTTGTGAGGTGGCAATTGTGAGTGTATAAGAAAGTTTACTGTTCATTCTCCATGCATATCCCATTTTGTGGTGACGTTCTTTGGGGCTGAGAAAATGAAATCTATCAGAGAGAATAGATACGATGAATAATGTTATATTTCACACACGTTTGAGTTCATACTGTGTGCCAAACATATCGTGGTGCAATAATGTTTATGAAAAAGAAAAAAAGTTCCACGATTTGCATGTTGTTGGAATACTGCCAAGTTGCCCAGGTCAATGCAGGTGAATTTTCTTGGGGAATCCACAAACAGAGCCTTTGGCTAACCACCGCCTGATCCACTCGGCAGCGGGTGTGTGTGTGTGAAAACCGCAATCCATTGGGGCAGGTGTCCAGTTTATCGGATCATACGCCCTTCGGACGCAGTCAGATGTCCAAGGTGCCCAATACAGCTCAATGCTCAATCGAACCGGTGGCCACTGCCACAACCGAAAAGGTGTGGGTGTGGTTCTTCCGCCTCCTCATGGTTGGTTTGAAATCAGGGTTTTTGGCCAACTCCCCTACGTGAACTGCCAGTGGTCCACCAACCCGGATATCGGCTTTTCGTCCTCTTACTTTGGTGGGAAAACACCTCCGCCCCACGAGAAGGCAGTGAGTAGGGCTTCCTCAGTAGAGGCTGTTTGAGACGCTTGGTCGTATGGGAGCATTTCGCGAGGTGGTGGTACCACAGTACAGCTTCCATGTACCCAATCAAGAAACGGATTAACCACCCAATCCTGCAGCCTTAATTGGCACCAACCGGATTGGCTGAATGCAAGAAGACAAACAAATAAACCAGTGTTGTCGATTGGACATGGAAGAATCAACCAATGACTGTTTGGTGCTTGTGAGATATATCTACATGATTTTCTGAATAGAATTACCTGTATTCACAGCTCGCCTGGGTTCTACCTGACTTTGTGCTATTCACTGGGTTTTCCGCCCGAATCCGAGTTCGCGTTATTCAACTCCGATTCCTATTCCCAATACTATAGACCATCAAATGCTTTGTTCAAAGGAGGAAAATTTGAAGTGTTTAATACTTTTATTTCACCAGCTTGATACCAATCTCCCGTACAAAACTTGAACAATTAAGAATTGTCTTCCACTGTACCAGAGTGATTCATTCACTGCGGGGAAAAAATTGCTCTTCTTACAAGACAATGGTCACCCCGAGCAAATTAATCAGTGGCAACAATCAATAAAAACTCCATGAGTGACGTGGTTCACACAACAAAGAAGAAATTTTTCTACGCCAGACTGGTTTCCAAACGGGTAACCAATACTCCATCACGTGTCCCCTAACTCAGTTCATACATATTTCCGGCTGCACATTTGCACATCATACCAACGAAGCGACCGTGATCTAGTAGTAGCCATTAGTAATAGTTCGCCTCATATTTGATGTTTAAATTCTCCCGAACCAGAGATATCACTATCGAAAAGGGTGTCAAAACATCAGCAAATGCTGGCATAAATCGGTCCTAATACACATCAAAGTTCTTTTCAGACTGAAACGCAGGGCCAGCGATTTCCGAACACCTTCAGTTGAACCATGTTCATATTTCAAAAACGTTTATTGCCTAATAGTAATTCGAAGATGCTGACCAAAAGTGAGACTGTTCCTTCAGTTCACAAGTGAATAATGTTAAGTGTGCGCACATGTTTTGTGAAGAACACAACTCACTGTACTGGAACGGGTTGACTGTAGTTGTTTCAAAACGATTTTCAGGGTCGAAACATTTGAAATACAGATCAGTGAAAACACCTCGGGGTGTGTCAGTGATTGCGAAATCGATAGTAGACAGACCAGTCAGTCACGTGACATCTGACACGAGAGTGAATTTGAATTTTCACTATAAATAACACTGACTTCGCTTACTTCAGACCTGACATCAGTTCTGTATTTGTGCACACTCTACTCCCTGGTTTACTTTCATCCTTGGGGTTCATTGACGCCAAGTTTTAAACATTTCAAAAGCATTCAAAAAAGCAAATGAAAAGCCTAAGCAACATTTTTCAGGGTTTTCTAATGAACTGTTTTTCCCGCCAAGTATTAAACTTTTTTTCGTTGGTTAATTATAGATGATTCAATTACTTGCGCTTCTTCATTTTTATTCCTCTTGTTGAATGCACAATGATACAATATTGAGCAAAGGGGAAGCGACCAATCAGTGATGCTTATGCGACACATAATGGTGAAAGTGATGCCGGTGGCGGTGGTGATGATGATGATGATGGTGGTGGTGGTGATGGTGGGGTTCAAACACATCCTCCGGGGTGATAATTTGGTGACGTTACCATCAGGCTACCACCGCCTGGAAATTCTAACGTAATATTATGATTAGGTGAGAGTCCAACCCACAAGGAGACATGACCTAAAAGGAGTGAGTGCACTATTTGAAAAGCAAATTATTCAATGGAACAAAAAGATAATATGGAAATCGAATGATATTTTTATTATGGTACTTGAGGATTTGATTGACTGCAATCGATTTCTGTTTTGATCGATAAAACCACTCCTGTTTGCACAATGTCAGCTATAATTTTGTATAATTCTGACGAAGCAATTTGGAACTGCCATGCATTGATTTATTTCATTCTTAGGTGAGATGCTCACACAGGTTTCGCATCGAACTTCCTCAAACCACGGTGGTAATACAACAACGCACTGTTCTTGGAGCAGCGGTCGATCACGCTCTTGGCGTCCGGAAAGTACAACGCATCGAGGTTCATTGGATTGCGGGGACGCGGTCACGTCTGATTCGTCCGGTCCTGTTCAGTTAGCCGCGTCCTCGAAGTCTTCTATCTCAGTGACATGTTCTCCGAAACGACCAGTGAGTCCGGAAAGTGATCACAAATATTCAAATAGGAGACTGGACAGAGTCAGTTATAGATCGACATACCAGATTCAGCTTACTCCCTCTCAGGGGGAAGATCAGTCGAGAGGTTTCTATATGAGTAACTGTTCATCTCCGACCCCATGGTCCCCGGAATTTACGGATGACGGTTCAATTCAATTCCCCGTTCTCGATCGTTTGGGTCCCGAGGATAATAATGCCGGACCGTACTCTTCCTCCGGGCGAACATCTACCACATCTACCTCCGTGGGGATTCGTACTCCGGCCCAACCGCGAAGTCACCGATGCATGGGGACAAACGGACCAAATACGGACTCACATTCATCGTCAGCCGGAAAAGCCGACACGGTGCTGAGCAGTATCAAATCCGTGTTCAGTCGATGGCTGGAAAATGTGCGGGCAAAAAATAGCACAGCGAGTGGGACTGCACAAACTGCCCGACACCGTTCCAGTGTTACGGCGAGCAGTAGTTCATCATCCTTGCGGAATCCGTGTAAACCAACTAGTCATCGAAGCTCAAAGGCATCTCTGATCAACTTGTCTGGAACTCCACCGCCGTCTAATTCACCTGAACCCAGACCGGTTCCCAATTCATCATCAACCGCCCCCGGTAAGTTTTATCTCGGTCGTGTTTGTGTCACTGTCCTGTTTCCTCTGTCTTCCATTTTATGTTATGCTATTAATCACTTGGAACAAAGTTTTCTCACGCACTGTCCTGCAATCCGGAAAACTGGATTCCGTTGTGTGACGAGGTAAAATTTACAACAGACATGTGTATTTCTCGTGCCAATTCCACGACAGTTTTCTTTTCGGACCATTTTTTATCACTAGTAGTACTATTGCATGGTCCTGCTGTTTCCTCTATTAGAAAAGATTGGTAAACTGTGCAAAATTTTTCAATTTTATTCGAAAACTGGCTTATAAAATGCGATGTTTTCTTTGTTCCAGTCTCGGCTGAAAACTTTTAGTCGCTTTGCTAACATTCCTGTTTTCCCCTCATTGATTTATGTTATTCTTTTCGGATTAGCATGGAGAAACCTTGCACGAACGATTCAGTAATTTTCTCCGACTCACCAGAGCTCTGTGCAAGAACACTCGGTATTTTGTTATGATTAGACCACGTGACACAACCATCTTCCACCTCACTTTAC